CAGGTACCTGCCCGGCACAAGACAGAAACCTGCAACTACAAAGACGTGCGGGCATCTAGACAAGACGAGAACGCTCTGGACGAAACAGGAACCCAGAACGCACATTTAGATGATATGTGTCGAGCCGATTACTGTGCCTTCGTGGCAGGATTAGATAAGATTCTCTAGGATGTAGTGCAGAACGCTTAGCTTGTTACATGTCATTTTGTCCTGATACGGAACTGCACACCACTAAAAAAGTCCGACATAGTTCGAAACAAGAACTGTCCCCTTCGACTTCATAGTCTTTGCGTAATTTAAAAGCATGTGGCAGTGACTGCCCTCCACCGTCTACGTATGTACTGTTTGTTCTTGATTGTCTGCGCTTCCCGACAAGAACTACCTTCCCAGTGGCTTGATGAAGCCAGAAGGGCTAATTGACCCCAGTCGTAGAAAAATTGTCAAACTAGACGCAGCACAGAGCTACGCATCGTATAGAACAAGAAGAGATGTACAATGTGGGTATCCTATGAAAGAGGGAGGAAGCTATGTATATATACTATTGGGGCGACGCTATTGAGTGAATCAAATGACAGGGTCTTAACCAACACATTGCGAACACAGTGACGCGTAGAGAGCTGAGTCCATGTGATCTACAGCGAAACTAATGCCTACGGAAACAACGAAGCAAGCTCTGATAACCCTACATAAGTCTGTCTAGGCGTTTTGAATCTTTGTATGTTTCAAAATCTTCGCGGTAGTGCGCCTTAATAAGCTTGTGTCCTTTCGGTAGATACAGCTCTATCCCGCCCGCCGCACTAGTTGTTGTTAGTACGACGTAACAAAGCTCTCTAACATGCAACTATAAAGCTTCCTTTAATAATGGCAATGCTAGATGGCATTGTAAGCGTCTTGGGTAAATGCTCATCATACCTCTTAAAGATGATAATAGAGTACTGTCGAAAAGCCCGACTTAATAGGAGAACCTGTGAAGAGACTTTACATAACCTTGAAAAAAAAAAGAACAACTGTAGTATGTGTGGAGTAGAAAACAAGCACACTTCGAAGAGTCACGGCGCCGGAATAGCATGGAGTAGTAGGAGCTAGGGCGATGCAATGTCTTTGATGATATACACCTGCTAACATGTGCGAAGACGTAGTTATAGCTGCGGTATCTATCTGACGTCATTGCATGTATGAAGATCAGAAGTCTCCGCCAAGGTCAAACGCCCAGAAGTCAGGAAATGACCAGCCGCTCATATCTGACTGTATGTCCTGTAGTGGATCGAATGGTCCATACGTTTCTTTCGTACTATTACTTGTGTTGGCTTCTACGCAAACCCCATCTGGTGACGTGGTAGGCGCACTCTCAGCGGTCATTGACGTCGAGACGATCTCTTCCCTAGTACTCATGGTACTGCGAAGGGAAGACGCCAAGCGACTCAGGGGATCTTGTTGTAGAGCTAGTACTCTGAAAGCCAACGAGGTAAACCAGTCGAGCGTTTTGTGACATCTTGAAAGTACGTCATCGTTAATGTTGTTGATGTAGGCTATGGATGTAGCAGGTGATGAAGGAGGTAGCATGCCTACTGCAGCCGACATGCTGTGCATACGAGAACCAAAATCAGCGAATTCTTGCTGTGAATTGTTGACATAAGAACTTACAGCCAGCATTCCATGTATCCTGTACCAAGCCGGAAGACCTTGATCTCAAATATCTGTCTCGTTCGCTCTAGGATGTCCATCGAAGATATACATAGTGTTCTTGCAAGGAACGACTCCTGCGGTAGTGCCGTGAGATACAGGTCTAGACATGTATCGGAGGCTGCCAAGCGCCGTGGCCTACTCAGGTCTGCAAAATGAGTGTGATGGTCTGCACTGTGATTCGTAGAATCAGTTGCAGGGGTACGGGACGATTTTACTTTTCGAAGAGTGCAGTTGTGGTAGACAATCTGCGAAAGTGTCAGACCAGCTCTGATGACGTCGTTGCGGAAGTTGTTCAGCGCTAGAACGCCTCTTGATAGCAGGCGATCGTGCGTGGTGACCAAAGAACTGCACGTTTCTACACAAGTTGTGAACGAGTATAAGTAGCGATTGTCTGTGCAGGCTAGTCTGGCGTAGGCCTTGTGCACCAATAAGAGATACTGTCGCAACTGCAATTGGAGGAGTGCGGAGGGTACGAGTGCGCGATCATCGTTCCAGACGGGTAGTGCGGCCAATGCAGAGCGGATCCGTGCATCGTAGTGCAGCACGTCGTCGTAATCGAGAGCACTGGAAGGGGTGTTTAACACTTGCGTCAAATGGATACGGAGTGGAAGTGACTTTGTAGTTGCGATGAGGTACGAAGCTGATGTGAAGTTCTCGTCGGACTGCACGGTGTCAGTCTCACAGGGAACGCTTTCTTCCGAGGTTCGTTTCTACATACCGCCGGCATGTGCTGCATATCTGGCGAAAAAGATTCATCGCCAAGATTATCAGGGATAGGCGAGTCCCAGTATAGTCCGGAGAGCGAAGATTGAATGCCACTCTCAACGGACGACTGGAGCTCCAGCTCCATGACGGTAATCCACAGACGCTTCCTCATTTGCTCATCGAAAGCTGTCATCGTACCATGTCCGAGCAGAGAGGGATCACGGTGTAGACCAGATGCAAGGGAGAGTCGCAGTAGGTCACCCGATGCGACCCAGTCTTGCTTCAGGCGCACGCAATTGACACGCTTCGCGAGTAACGACAGGCACTGTAGCTGGAACAAAGCTAAAGTAACCCGCTTGCGCGGCTGATCAGCGATCCAGCTGTCGCATAAATTAATAAGCTCGTGAGCCGCTTGCCTGTCGGCAGTCGTGTCACCAACAAACACATCATCTTTCGGGTTAAGGCACTTCGTGGCTGCGACGAGCAAGACGAGCAAGACGGCGAAGCTCACCGGTCCCTTTCCGTCCCGATCTGATTCCCAGTAACTTCGATAATCCTCCCAGAACGACGGCCCGTGCAGGATTCTATAACTTGTTTCCCACGTTTGGAAGTAGAGAGCCGCCTGCGTATCAACTATGCTCTTTTCCGGAAGGATAGCGAGTATTTCAGAGTCGATGTCAGAGCATCTAGTGGCCTGCCTCTTCGCAGACTTCTTCCTCTGATCGCGAAAGGCTTTGAAGTCGGTTTTGACACGCATGATGGAGTGATCGACGGTCAAAGCCTCTCGCGTAAAAGCTTGTAGCTCGTGATACTTAGTGGTGGTCAGTTTCTATCACGTTGACGTCAGGCTTGGGACTGTACCGTGGAGATCATGCTCATGATACTCGTTGCGCCGTTGAACTGGGATCTGAAACCCTTTCCTCTGAACATGATTTCCTCTGTGATCTTGGGTTCATGGGGCACAAACTCCCCATATTGCGGGGGATTACCACCGCCATTTCGATTGATGAGTTTCTGTTCCAGAATGGCAATTCGTCTCTCTTGTGTTTTGAGTTTTCGTTGTAATGCATTCGATGCGTCCGAGGAGGGCTCGCTCTCGACTGGCAGCTCTGTAAGCGCAAGAGACGCAGCGCCCCTGTCACGGTGGGACTCTTGAAGTAGCCGGGGGTCATATGTACACTCGTGACCTCTGTCGTTTTTCTGACATCGGCCACATACTGGAAAGACGCGATCACACTTCATCTTGCGGTTGCGACAAGCGTAGCACGACAACACTTTGCGCTTCTTGCTCGTGCGTCGCTGCGACAAGCCATCGTGACCTTCTGGGGATTCCTCGCGAGACCTGTCGCTAATCCACTCGGCGCCGGGAGCGGACATGGCATGTGACGGATGGCAACTAGGGACTGCGATGCGCGTTGACAATGGCGAAACAGCTGGAGGTCGGACAAGGCGGAGATCAGGTGGAGATGAGGCAATAGGTTGGAACGCACAGACTCGGATATAAGACGGAGATGCAACAGACCCAGTTAACCATTGCGTCCCCAGGTACGCTCAGGCCGCCATACCTCCAGCTAGGTAGCATTCACCCATCCTGTCGATAGTGTAGCGTCACCAGTGCTGACGATTAATAAATGGAATCGCCGGCATTTCGACGCACTCATCGGGTCCTCTTTATGCCAATGCGGGGAATGCTGGTCATGTCTCATTTCCAGTCTCGTGGTATCAACAGTATCGTCAATCTACCCCTCTTCGGTACTTGTTTTTCATATAATTGATGATCAGCTTGGCTTGCCTTCATATCTTCTTCGGCAGTTGAACTCTCCGCTGTGCAGTGACAGCACGACCCATCGAAGACCTAAGACGCATTCTAATCGTAGTTTAACAGGGTATTACGGGACCGAGTCTGAGGCGCCGAGGCGCCGAGGCGCATGCATCTGTGCAGGAGCTGCTCTTGACTTGGGATTGAAATACCCAGTTAATAGTGCTCAGCGCCCAGCTCATGGCAGTGAGCTTCAAGATGCTTGGTATGCTTAGCCGGGTAGACAGCCGAACAAAAGGGTTGTTGCATCACATCGCCTGTCCGAGTGACCTTCTGGCTGCGATGACGATGTCTAATGATTCCTACATTGCGTGGAGATTGCCCTGTAGACCTACGGGTGTCCGCGTCGCACTAAGCAGTCAATTCATCTCATAAGCTGTCCGCGTCTGTGGTCGGTCATGTTCTAGCCTCCAGTGAGATGAATCTCGACATGGCATGTAGGGGGCGCGCATTATCGGTATGCGAGAAAAGGCTTTGAACACCAATTGCAGCAGTTGGGGCGTGGTTTAGCATTCATTGACACATTGATTGAAAGATGGAACATAGAGTACATACGCCCAAGGGTAATTAGACGGCTCCGCGAAATGGGACATAAGAGACGCCTGCCGATGCACTTGCCATGATCTTGATTCAACCCTTTGTCAGTCTTCGCCCACGATACTACTGAAACCCCAAAGCCTGTACTGCTCACCATCTGGGCATGTATCACTACTTCGTCATTGCCGCGTGGCTTTACCACGTCGTTCACGCACAGCTTGTTGGTACTCAGCAAACCGAAACCCATCCAGGAATGACATGGCAGTCTTGCACCGCCAAGGGTAGCTGCACAACCAAGAACGGTAAAATTGTCATCGACGCCAATTGGCGATGGCTTCATGTCAAAGGAGGGTAATGGCATAGGCACAGTCTGTTGGGTTGACTCAGCTGCTAACACAAGACTAGCTATGACAACTGTTACACAGGTAACGAGTGGAACGCAACTGCCTGCCCAGACAATAAGGCATGTGCGGCCAACTGTGCCGTTGACGGCGCAGACTACAGTGGCACATACGGCATCACCGCGGGCAGTAACTCCCTGAAGTTGAAGTTCATCACGAAGGGTTCCTACTCCACAAACATCGGTTCTCGGACGTACCTCATGAAGGATGATACGACTTACGAGGTAAGTAACGTTCTCGTAGGTACAAACAGTGTCTCAACTGATCCGTGGATTTGAACAGATGTTTAAGTTTACCGGCAACCAAGAGTTCACGTTCGATGTGGACGTGTCGAACCTGCCATGCGGGTTCAATGGCGCTTTGTACTTTGTTTCAATGGATGCAGATGGCGGATTGAAGAAATTCTCGACGAACAAGGCTGGCGCCAAATACGGCACAGGGTACTGCGACGCCCAGTGCCCACGGGATTTGAAGTTCATCAACGGCGAGGTAAGTCACGCTCGGTTCCAAGAATTGGTTTTCAGCTACTCAGAATGCTGCAGGGAAATGTCGAAGGTTGGCAGCCATCCTCCAACGATGCGAATGCAGGGGTTGGGGGCCATGGTTCGTGCTGCGCAGAGATGGACATCTGGGAAGCGAACGCTGTCAGCACAGCCGTCACCCCACACTCGTGCTCCACAATCGAGCAGTCTCGTTGTGACGGCGACGGTTGCGGAGGTACCTATTCGGCCGACCGTTATGCCGGGGTTTGCGATCCTGACGGCTGTGACTTCAACAGCTACCGCATGGGTGTCAAAGACTTCTATGGCAAGGGCAAGACGGTAGACACTTCAAAGAAGTTCACCGTGGTCACACAATTTGTCGGTACCGGGGACGCTATGGAGATCAAGCGTTTCTATGTCCAGAACGGCAAGACTATTGCGCAGCCTGCATCTACTATTCCTGGCGTAGACGGGAACTCCATCACAACAAAGTTTTGCGACGAACAGAAAGCTGCGTTCCACGATACATACACGTTCAAAGACAAGGGCGGTATGGCGAACATGGCAAAGGCTCTCGCAAACGGCATGGTCCTCGTCATGAGCCTGTGGGATGACCATTACAGCAACATGCTTTGGCTTGACTCTACGTATCCCACAGACAAGAATCCAGACACGGATCTAGGTACCGGCAGGGGAGAATGCGAGACGACGAGCGGTGTGCCGGCAGACATTGAGAGCCAACATGCTGATGCCACTGTTGTCTACAGCAACATCAAGTTCGGGCCACTGAACTCGACCTTCGGTTGAGGGAGTGTAGTGGAGGGAGGGAGCTGCAGCGGAAAAGATGACCTCCAGTTCCCGAGGTCGGGAGAACGGGGGACATGAGAGCGTGGTCTAATACACATGGTTTGTCGCGTACTGAAGCGATAGTTGTTCGCTTGGCAGAAGAATCCAAGGCGCGTCTGCATGCAGCTTGCAATGTAGAGCAAATTCTTCTGTGCACCCCGGCCCCCTTTGATATTTTGTTGAGGGATGACAAATCACGCGACAAGGCCCAAGCGTCATGAGCGCGTGTCAAAGACGCGCGCTTCTCGTCTAACTCAGCTGGGCATGGGCGACTTCGTCCAAATGTGAGCGCGCTTTGTCCGACCGTTGAACGATAACACCTACGTTGGTTGCGTCGCGCAGCCGTGCGTAGGTATTCTTCTTGCGTGTTGGCGTTGCCAAAAAACGTAACATGGACCACGCGTGGCAACCTACAATCTTAACGACACCAAGCATGGCTCAGCAAACCTTCCCAACGTCGCCATACTCGGTATCCATGATTTACGTGGGATCAATGGCCCCGGATGCGCAACTGAAATATCGCCAACAACACACAACGCCGAACCTTGCCTTAGACATGAACATCTCTAAGACACCGAGGCCGTGCCGCGAAAGACACTCGATACGCTCAATGTTTGTCTCTAGGTGCGCATTCAGGCTGTATGCAACACTACGCTCGATGTAGTTGCTCAGATAGGGTCATAAGGGGGATTACGCGAAGAGCTGATCCACCGCTGCAACTGTTTCTCTGCCCTTCCTCGCCCTGAAACCCTTCTCATACCACCGGGTACTTTATCTTCTTCCAAATCAGCCAGGGGCGCTCATGTATCGATCAGAGTAGTTCTGAGGAGGGAAGAGAGCCTCTTTCAGATCCTCGACATCCACTCCTTTGTTGCCAAGGTTGCCTGCCGCGAGTGCAGCATCCACGATCAGGTCCCAGTCATCGTGATCTTCTGTGGATGGTTACTAACAGTCTTGACGTATGAGCACAAGAGCCACGTTTGGAACACGTACCAAATATCACCACCAAGCAGTCCTGCTTGTTCCTATGGCTACAAACCGTCTTCCCACCAGGGATAACACGCATGTGTTGTCGGCAATAGTAGAAGTGGTTGGCACGAAAGCAGGGTATATGGAAAGAGTCTTGAGAGCATTTGACATCGTTGGTCCGCCCTTCTGGAAAAACGAATCCACTGATATGCATTAGCCACTATCACTCGTTCATGAGCGCTCGCTCAGAGAGCATCTCACCAAGATCTCAAGGTGCCCTCACGTTTGTGGCGGCGGTGCTCGGACATGATATTCTCCATGACCATAGGAAGATAAGCTGCGTTGTCTTTACTACCAATGACTGGCTGCTGAGGGCGGACTGGGTTCAGTTGGGGAGCAGCGTTTTGTGCGCGTGGTGTAGCATTCGCATCCACCGATTGAACAGGGGATGGGCGACTAGAATAGCTGTTGTGTCTAGAAGAAGCCTCCCCTGATGATAAGAAGCGGGTACGATCATACCTGTCGTTACTCGTGGCGCCACCGGTATGTGCTCGTGGAGGTGTTGTGATGCGACCAGTACCGATAAGAGACTCCGAGAGAGGGAGAGGATTATCTTGGTTGGCAGTCGAACTCGAGTAACCACTGTGACTACTGCCAGGAGGTCCAGGAAAGCGGTTCGTAGCAATTTGGAGCTGATGTAGGAGTTGTCGCTGGCGGTTCTCAGCTTGTTGCAGACGCTGGCTTAGCCCGACAATGTGGCCATCGTGTTCTTCGCGGATGCTCTGGATTTCTTCGCCGAGTGCCTGGAGCTGTGCTTGAATTTGGCGAGGGTGTGGTAGCCGCGAGTCCATCTCGTAGGCAGGACGCGCGAGTTGAGCGAGAGAGTGGCTAAAGACGGCTGTAAAGGCTCTACGAGCTGAGTCGACGGTTCAAGGAGCGGGATAGCTGAGAGCTTTACTTCAGAGGCCACATCCAGAGGTGGGAAATGTCTTGGCCAGGGAAAGTATACGTCATCTATGAGCGGTACGGCTGCTAAAACGAGACAGGCCCGGATTCAATTTCATTACAGTCAAGCATTGATACTATCAGATTAGGGTCGTACGTGATTGGAGTACTGGAAGATCTATACTCGAATGCGAAATTGTTTCCTATTTCCTAGCTACTTATGCTGGTGTAGTTGATCTTGTCTTCGTCGCTGCTTTGGGGGTACCCAGATGGGATTCGCCGCGTTATCATATCGCTTTTCCTATTTGACAACACCGGCAGAGACATTATCCAAATAGCATAGTGACAAAGCGTGCTCTTGGTAGCTATATGAATCTTGCAGTGTCTATCTAGTACAGAATGTGGTGGTGTACATGACTACCTGGGTATGATATAAGACGCAATAAAGGCGGAGGAGCCATCAGGAAACTATGGAGCAACTATCGTATACCATACTCGGCTAGAAGGCTAGTATAGTCGCCCTCCCAGGGCTCACTGCCAGACTCTTGTGTTTCCTCGTTGTGCGCGTCTTCTCTTATGGTCATTGTCACAGTCTCTCCAGCGCTCTTCACTGAGCCTGAGCCATGCTCAAAGTACTGTTGAGATGAATCCCGCCGCGGCCTATTCTGGAGGTAGCGTAGTGAGCGTTTGCAACGATTCCAAATGCTTGCTTGGTCTTCAAGACGGCCGTAAGTGACATACTGGCTAGCGTTAGAAAAACAAATGTTCTAGACTCTATCAAAACACTCAGGACATACCTCAATATTCCCGTCCCGAATTCTGCGAACAACAACAGCGCTTTCCTTCGCTGCTTCTTCGGCCCTGAAAGTCTCTAGTACCGACAGGTGGCGCTTTTGCCATGGTGCCCGCCATTTGATATGACGCCAGTGCATGGTCTAGGAAGCAGTATAGACATCAAGTTGCGATCGAATCTGAGTTCTCTGTTCTTGAGGCGAAGGGAAGCTTTCGCATTCGGTGGATGAATACCGAATTTCACACTGGGACTATATTAGTTGGGCTTCTACAGACTATACTGGATATAGCAGCACGGGTGTCGAGTCCTCTTCGCTAGTGCTAGTGACTACCTAGGTAAACAACACGCACCACAATCTGAATATCATTAATAAATTGTAGTGACAAGGAAATCCATCGATATTTTCTCGTGCAACTAGATCGATCATGTCGCCTCTCCCAGAACACACATTGAAGGTTCAATGAATGGCGCTACACCTTCACTGGAGCTTTGTGTTTGTCACCACAAACAGTCACAGGCTTGGCTGCTTCCTCTTAGCGAGTTGAGAGCGTGTTTCTAGAGTGTTCGCTTCCCCTTTCGCTTCTGCTCCAGCTCTTTACCATCAAATTGAAGTCGAAACACGCGTTGCAATCACTCTCCGCCATCAGCAACTAGGAAAGCATGTCGGTCCCCCCTCGCATAAATTCTACTTCCCCATCAGCGTCCTCACCGACAATTCCGCGACTGGTGGAGAACCGCAACTATACGCGTTTTGCAGACGTCGGCTTTGGCAACCGGCTGGCCGACGCGCGCAACCTCGTACACACACGGAGGCCCTCCCTTTCTCTTCGTTCAGAACATACAACCGCTGTAGGTTCGGTTGCATCTGAAGTCGCCAACTCGATTCGGCGGGCTGCCTTGATCCCGCCCGGTGCGCCAAAGCATGGATGGGAGAAGGGATCATACCGGTCACCCTTCGACTATCACATCCCTGGTCATACCGTAGGTGGCAGAGACACGCCTCCTGGTAGATCAAATTCGCATGCTTCTTTTGCAGGGCTGTCTTCGTCTTCGCCTCTTCACAGCATAACGCCACTCTACACTTCGACGCCTCTTGCGACGCCTGCATACGAGATGAAGCCCAGACCTGAATCCGATTCACTGTGCCGTACAGTTACACCTGGTCCTGATGTAAGCTTCAAAGTCCTATTCTTGCTTGAGTGCGCGACTGACTGCTTCCAAGGCAAGGGAACGTCTTGTTCTCATTGCCCCCCTCCGCATGATTCGCGGAGCAGGGGCCCATCTTTGTGAGGATGACCGGGAAAAACTGTATTGTTTCATCGACGGTTACATGGCCGACTCATTACACACTGTTGTCGAACGCGATGGCATCCTTCCCAATATCGTTTACAAGGTCAGCATTCCCATGACAGACGCCGCTTGGGTCAGCTACAACCAAGTTCTCGCCACATTCGGGTTCGCCAATGGTGTGAATGACATGCTCATTGCGGGCTCCGACAATTTCGACAAGTACACATACATGATCGATGATGTGAGCGCAGAACACGAGCAAGGCTGGAAGGTACTAGCGAGTTCAAGTGAGAGGAACCTCGACATGACAAGACTTTCGCAAGAGCTGGTGCAGATCTGGAAGAATACATGGATCGAGAATGGATCTGGCTATGTCGGAGTGGCCAAGGATATTGTGCAATAACGTAAGCAAAGGTTGCGACAAAAGTAGCAGGATGGATCTACCGGGAAACGCTAGCTCGGAAGCTCCCTGGCGCCTGTGGAATATTGCTTGCTGCTCAACGATTCGATACAAAGTCTTTACGGTATTCTTACACGGGTTTGCTCGGGTGTGAAACTGAGGCGTCTGATTTGAAAACACACAATCTCCTATTTAGACGATGTGCCGTTATCTTACATGAGAGCGCAACGTGCTGGACATTCTGGAATGCATTGTACTGAGACAGTCCAAATGTATGGAATATGTCGAAGTCGTTGGCCCTTCGCAATTATCCGATCATCAAAGGTACTTGCGAATGACTCAAATCAGGGACGTGAACGATGGTCGTCTGTTGACGTTCAATCTCTGATGTCTTGTAGAGTATCCAGGTACCTAGGTTCCCTGAAGATGCATGATCAGTAAACTCAACACAACGCTACATCATTGCTGAGGTTGCTGGGCCGTATCTGATAGACGTGGAATCGCGCCCAGAAGGATGTGGTCGTGGCGCTGGCAAGCTTTCGCAAAAGGAAGCAGCGGGTCAAACTGCGGGCGAGAAGCATGAGCAAGCCCGAAGACGCTGTCGTGGGTGCGCTGCGTACGCTGCCTGCGCAGGTGCAACGTTGGTACGAGTGCAGCAAACATCTTGTCCAATGCAGAACTAGCAACGTGCCTTTTTCGACCGGTGCAAACTACCTCGGTACTGTTGCCAGGCATTCCAAGTTATACGTTGAGCATACACTCGTTAGCCCATATGTCCCATTGCTTCCAAGGTTCGGTCGCAGTATTGTGCCGACTGGATGCGGCATGCTTTCCCCTTCCAGTAGTATCTGCGCTTCGGAGGGCGGCCTGTTCCATTGCTACCGAGGCCAGTGTGTATCCATGTTGAAAGAGCCACGGACATCGGGTGATTGCCAATCCAGGCGATGCATACCAAGGCAGCGTCGTGTGCAGAGTTTACAGTATAGTACGTGCAGTACACGGGTAACGTTCGATCAAGCATAGCCTCCGGGACTAAAGCTTCCCCACAACTCGTCTATTACCCTTGTCCCGGTAGTCATACGCCACCAGAATTATTGAAACAGTCATGTCTGCTCGTGACACTATGTAGCGCAGTGCCCCTTTTCCGTCAATGAGCGACGAGCCTTTCGCGGTCGACCCAGTCGGCAGATTGTCAGGAACTTACGGGAGAATCTGCTGATGCGCCTATAAATTCCAGGCACTCTGCATAGACAATTGCTCTGGCTGGCATCTGAGACTTGATCTTACAATACCGCCATGCGACTTCTCAGACTCGTAGGCTTTGGCCTGTCCGGCTTGATCGTAAATGCGACGCTCCAGATTGTACCTGGCGCGACTTGGACAGCAGTGCGTTTCGTCGTACCCATGAGCAAATGGCAACTGACATTACACCAGACCAACACAGGCCAGCACATTCAGGCTCACGGCGCCGGCATCATCAAAGATGGCGAAAAGTGGTATTGGTAAATAGCTCTACGCGCAAGGGCGGCCTCTACCGGTGCTGATGCGCCCGCAGGATTGGCGAAGATAAAACAAACGGAACCGCTTTCACAAACATCAACTGCTATTCGTCTACCAACCTTGTCGAATGGTCTTATGAAGGCGCTCTAATCTCGCGGACTGCATCTGGCGACACAGGGCCCGATCGTGTTATTGAGAGACCAAAAGTTATGCACAACAAGCGAACGGGTAAGTATGTCCTGTGGGCTCACATTGACAGCGCCGACTATGGTGAGGCGAAGATTGGGGTCGCAATAGGCGACAGCGTTTGCGGAAAGTATTCGTATCTACGCAGCGAGCGACCACTGGGCTTCGAGAGTAGAGATTCTGGCGTGTTTGTCGATGACGACGGCAAGGGCTATCTACTGACCGAAGACGTATGACTGCCTCGTAGCACAGTAGGGATCTGTTTCTGACGAAGCCAGCGCCGCAACGGCCTACGCATCAACGCACTGTCTGATGATTATCTCAGCGTTTCCAGCAATGTCTACGTCTGGAAAGAAAAATACGAGTCTCCGGCCATGATCAAACACAAAGGCGTTTACTTCATGTTCGCCTCGCAGCTTACGGGGTGGAGCCCGAATGACAACTACTACAGCACGTCGACGTCTCTCTCGGGTCCATGGTCGTCGTGGCAAAAGTTCGCCGACTCTGGGTCCAACACGTACGCTTCTCAAACAAGCTTTGTACTGTCTGTGGGGGATGGGTACGTGTACATGGGGGACCGATGGCACAGTGAAAATCTGATGAGAAGCACATACGTATGGTTACCGGTTGAGATATCTGGAACGACGGCTAGCATGAAGAACGCTGTCAACTGGATCCTGGACCCCGGTACTGGAGCCAGCAGGGCCGGGCCCAAAGAAAACATGTACGAAGGCGAGACGGCAGAGCTTGCTAACGGAGCCACATCTCAAGCATGCTCCTCGTGCTCGGGCTCGAAGGCAATTGGGTACATTGGCGGCGTGCCCTCGGGGTCCGCCACGTTTTCCAAGGTGGAATCTTCAGCAACGACGCGCACGACTGTGAGAATCAAGCATCTCAACGGCGACAAGCAGCAAAGGTATGCAGCCATCAGTGTGAATGGGAAATCGCAGAGGGCGGCGTTCTTGCCAGACGGGGGAGGAGGCCCGGCAAGTTCAGTGGTGCATGTCAACGTAGAGCAGGGCGTCAACGAAGTCAAGGTTGGCGGGGTGGATGAGGGCTGGGGGCCGGACATTGACAGGGTGTTTGTTCCCGTGGAGTGAGGATGGGCTGATAGACTAGCAATGTATGGTGTTCAGTCCATCGACTTGCTCATGATGGCGTATTCGGCGGGGATGACCCTGTTCCTCGTGGTCCTGTCGTCGGGGCTGCACTCGTCCCTGGTGTAGCCCAGGCTGTGGTACATGCTCTTTGCGCGCGTGTTTGCGTTGAAGACGGTCAGCATCGTCTTGGGGATGTGACATGCGCGCGCCACGCTCTCGACGAACTGGACGAGGCGGGACCCGAGGCCCTGTCCTCGCAGGCGCTCGTGGAGATGGATCTCGTAGATGTAGAGGACGGGGCGGTCGTGGTGCGGGGGGTCGTCGTGGGTGAACATGAAGGAGGTGAAGCCGAGGATGGCGTCGGGGCCGCCCTGGGCCGGGCGCAGCAGCAGATACATCATGTCGGCGTCGAGCATCTCGTCGCGCTTCCTGCGCGGGTCCCAGCCCATGGCCGAAGCCGCGTAGTCGTGGCCCGACGTGGCGTGGACGAGGCCGAGGCAGGCGTCGAGCTCGCCCGGGCGGAGGTCGAGAGCGGAGGGGACCCAGTGGAAGGCGACGGGGCAGGGTCGCTGGGGCGCCTCGTAGGCACTGAGGGCGGCGTCCTGGCGCAGCAGCGTCTGCACCGTCTGCATGCGCGCGAGGGCCTGGGGCGAGTGCATGGTGGTGAGGTGAGGTGACGATTCCGCCGCCAGCCAGCCGCCCACCACCAACCGCCCACCGCCCACCGCCAACCTTGGGCACTGGGACGCGCCCTCGACACATCGCACCGCCATGCTGCGCGCCTACGCGACCGTCGCCTCCAAGCCGCCCTCCCGCCTGCGCGCACGAGGAAAAGCTCCCGTGGGCCTGGACCACGTACCTGTCCCACGACGCATCCGGCCCGGCGCCACGCCCGCTGACGGTCCTGCAGTTCATCCAGCGCCAGCGCGCCCTGGCCCTGTGGCGAGACATTGTCCGCAGCACCGCCAGCATCCCCGACGCAGGCGCACGACGAGACATGCGCCGCTTTGCACGCTCCGAGTTCGACCAACACCGCTCCGTCACTGACCTGGGCCACATTCGATATCTGATTTCAGTCCGCCGCCCCAGAACCCCCGCAGCGTGCCCTGGCCTTTTGCTAACGCCTGCCCAGCATGGAAAGACACAGCTCCAGACCATCAAGGCCACCCTCATCAACGCTGGCCTACTCTCCGAATAGCCTCTGTTCAGACACTGCTGCCCCGAATTCCCAACCCCGTCCTGGCCATGGATGCCCCGGTCGAGCAACAGTCCGTCTGCGTCGTCGGCGCTGGGCCCGCGGGTCTGGCGGCTGCACACATCTGCAGACAGCACGGCTTCGCAGTCACCGTCTACGAGGCCGCAGACCGTGTAGGCGGCATGTGGAGACATGACCGCGGGGAATTTGGCGACAAGTGCAGTCCGGAGATGCGCACCAACCTGAGCAGATACACTGTTGCCTTTTCTGATCTGGCTTGGACATCGGTACATGTAGATATCTCGAACCCTGCTGCCGATCCACTAGCTGTTCCGCCTGTGTTTCCCAAAGCGTGGCAGGTAGAATCCGTGTACAGCATGCTGTGAGACAGTTACTGACTTCGTACATGCATCTTTAGGCACGTGGGCCGCTATCTTGCGGCGTATTCAGAAACCCTTGGCTTAACTGACGACATACTCCTCGAGCACCGAGTTGTCAGCGCATCACTGCAAGAAGATCATACTTGGAGAGTGGTCAGTGCCGACGGCACCCGTCAGCTAACATCCCGTACCTTTGATCGACTCGTCGTCGCCAGCGGCTTCTTTAACAAGCCAGCCCACACCTTCAATCCCGTTCCCTCCCACCCTCTCTCAAACATCCAACACTCCTCACGATTTCGGACTCTCTCTGCCCTGACGGAAACCCCCGGCAAGATAGTCGTGATTGGAGGCGGCATCAGCGGCTCAGAGGCTGCTTCTCAGGCTGCTTCTCAGATCTCCAACGCAAAGCACTCGCCTGGTGGAATGACACCCTCCCACGCCGACAGCAGGGTTTTCCACGTCATCAATCGTCCCTTCTACTGCCTGCCCCGCTACCTTCCACAGGACCCTCAGACCCACGATGGGCATTTCAAGCCAGCACCCAAATTCCTTCCCCTTGATCTGATTCTCTACAACCTGTCCCGTCGCGGCCATGGTGACATCTCTGCAGCTATCAGCACCGTTCCACCAGAAAAAGCAAAGAAAGGCCACGACTTCTTACGATCAAGTATAGGCTGCCATCACGCCGATGTCGGCTTCTCAGAGCTCGCGTACACGGCGACCCAGACACAACACCCTGGCTACACCGGTATAACCGACACGTATATGGAGTTTGTCAGAAGTGGCATTATTGTGCCAGTCCGGGGATGGGTTGAACACGTCGAGCAGGCAGCCAACGGTGATTGCCTAGAGATTAGTCTTGGCCAATATGAGCCCTGGTTCCATGGGCCAGGCGCAAAAGCTATGGTACTCCGCTTACTCGAGAGCCTAGGCGCATCGAAAAGGCTGACACTTTACAGGGCGAGAGCAGACTGAGTGATGTGGTCGGTATCATTGAAGCCACAGGCTACAAAGCCGACCTCGATTGGCTCGACGCCCGTGTCCAATCTCTTCTCACTGACGGCAGCGACAACCCGAATCCGCGCATACCATATCTCCTGTCACGTGGTTCCGTCTTTTCGCAGCAAATACCTACAATTGGGTTCGTGGGTTTCTACGAAGGCCCTTATTGGGGCGTGATGGAAATGCAGGCTCGACTTCTGGCGCAACGCTGGGCCAAACGAGAGCCTGAGCAGTCGGCGACTCTCTCATCCGCCTTGTACACGTATGATGATACGAGGCATATGCAAAATGCCATGGGTCAGAGGTCCTTGCAAGTGCCGCAGTTCTGGATGGCCGACTACGTTGGACTAATGGAAGAGTTCGCACGAGAAACGGGCGTCTCACGTGACGACACCCTATTCGGTAGCCAATCGGGTCCCGCATTCCCATCGCGCTATCGACACACAGATAGCAGTCTGCAAGCCAAGGCAGTAGTCAGCGAAGTTGCCGGAATACTCGAGGCATCCCAGGAGCATGCTCGGTTTGTTGCAGCGGCCGTGTTCACAGGCATGCAAGGTGTCTGGAAGATGACGCGCAAGATTGATTCACGCACCCAGACACCCGGTGGCACATTCGTGGGTACAGCTCACTTCCATCCGCGTCAATCTACCGATGCAGCGACCTACGCCTCCGAATACTTGTATATCGAACAAGGGACATTCACCATGGACGCTGGGCTGTCATTCCCTGCGACCCGTCGTTACGTCTATCGGTACAACGAAACAAGCGATGAGATCACCGCATGGTTTGTTGAAGACGACGAAAAAAGCGTCGGAAAGCTATTCAATACCTGGCGCTTCCACGCGCCTGATGACCAGGCTGGCGGCTGGATGGCTACGGGCTGCCATTGGTGCGATCCCGACACGTATCAAAATGACTGCGAATTCAAGTTTCGTGGTGCAAAGATCGATCGGTTCATGATCAGATACAAGGTGGACGGACCAAAGAAAGATTATCTGCATGAGAGCTGGTATGAGAGACCAAAGGTAGATGGCGGAGCAAACGAATGCGGATGAGGGCGTTGTAAAGACAGCGCAACATTTGCAAAGGGCTATTCCATTGCGAATACATTGGGTGGGGTATCATATATAAATCGTCATATCGTACAGTTACACCTGGTCTTCAGGCCGGTCATGTGTTTAGTTGCTCAACACCTCCATCAGCGAGCGTACTGGGATGGGTAGGTGGCCCATCTCTTCCTATGCTCTCAAGGTCGGCCAGCAGCATCCTGAGATGATTCTCTCGGTTCTGGTTACTGCCCCAGGTGACCGCTTGCGAGTAGTACAGTATGTCCCACGCCTCGTCACCAATGTTTTGTAGGAACGTGGGCAACGATCGCGCTTTCTGGTACGAGCGCCAGAGTATTCGGCGGATGTCATCGTTTGCGCCGATATAGGCAAGCTCAATGGCTTTATTGAACGATTTCAGGGCTGGCGCAATGTTGAACGGTGGGGGGAGGTCGACGCGGAGGCGTTGGAGAGCGGCAACGTGCTCTGGGTCTTGGAGGGCAGCAGCCATACGCTCGCTGAGCGGCGCAGTGCGGCTGTCCGCGAGTTGGTAGGGGTCAGGCGCAGTTTCGTGGGCGATAGAAGTCAGATCGCCTTGCTGTTGCTTGTTCTCGGAAATGAGCTTTTGTATGTACATTAGCTTCTCCATCAGCTTCGGGTCTTTCATGATCTCGTCAACCTTGGCCTGGAGCTCAGCGGGAACATCTTCTTCGTCCTCCACAAGCTCTCCGGGCTGCGATGCTTTGGACTGGGCGAGCTTCTTCAGCTCTTCGGCCAATTCTTGGGGGTCCATTTCACGCTCGAACACACCCTCTTCATCTTGGCCCGATGTGGAGTCTTCGCTGATCGCTGCGTCGAGTTCGGCTTCGAGCCCGGTGTCGCCACCCAACGACTTCATGACATCCCGCATCTGGTGCAGGAGCTTGTCCACGTCCTGCATGTCTTCGGGTGTCGCCATAGTCAGGTCCTCGTCTGGAGTCTCTGCTTGAGCAATGGCGTCTTCGGTCTCTCTCTGATAAGTCTGCCACTCGCGCTCCAATTCGGAGTCGGGGCGTTTACGCATAGCGGCGACCTTGTTCTGCATAGCTTCGTTGCCCTCAAGCTTGTGCAATGCCTTGTTCAGCATAGCCTGGAACACGGGATTGTCTATGTTTTCCACCTCAGGCATGTGGTCGATGCACGCTTGCAGGTCGGCCTTTGCGTCTCCGATGTCCGGGTCCTCGAGGACGTCTTGTAGTATTTCAAGTGTCGCCATCCGTAAGCCGGCGTTGAACTGCTTGCTCTCTGCCTCTGCCTTGGCAGCGCCCTGGTGTTTCAGTTGCTGGAGCTCCTCCCTCGACTTGATGCCTTTTTTGATGAGCTGGAGCTCATCCGTCAGTTCGGCGAAGTTTGGATTTGTCAGGAGGCTGTCGATGAGCCGCCGGTTCAAAGTTGCGTCGTCATGGTCGGGGTTCTTCCGAGACTCTTCTATCATCAGGTACATGTCTCTGTCCTTCTTGCGGTCTTCGGGCGTGGCTATGCGCTCAATCAGGCGCTGCGGCGTGCCTTTGTCCAAGTCCTGCTCGTACCAGTTGATGACGGGCAGATCGTCGCGTTCGAGTTCGGCATCGGACAGCGGACGCATTGCCTGGTCCATTTTCGCGTCATCCTCGAAGATGGAGCGTGAGCCTCTGAGCCGGCCTAGGAGCGAGGGCTTGGATTTCGTCGTTGCATCGTGCTCCGACCCATCGGGATAGCTGGCTTTGGTGCGTTTTCCGCGTCGGAGCAGCACTGGTGGGGGGCGAGCAGAAGGACATGGTGTAGCGCGAGCTCCCAGGAAAGCGCTTGAGCGTGTACACGCGCGCGAGAGCATCGTGGCGAGCTTGGTTGAGGAGCGAGAGTGCCAAGTCGCTGTCTCAAACTTGTGACGTTGTCTTGGCACCTCCGAGAACTCCGCAATTGCTTGTCACGCCTTAACAAGAGAGCTACCCAGGCGCGCTGCGATCATCAAGGTGGACTATCCTAATGCGGTAAGGCGGCAGCTGCCCGCAGTCCCCATCATTGCGAAAGCTGTATCAATCCCTTGTCCCTGTCCTGCCACCAGAAACGTCTCTCTCCGGCACATGATGAAGACGATGAGGACCAAATGGTTGCGCCACAAACAGCTCCGCGTCAGTGGGTTAGCGTCACACGTACATAACATACACCCAACGTGTCGTTACTGAGTCAATCTAGCCAGCTAATCCAATGCAGTCACAAAAGACACACGGTGCATTTCTCGAGTTACCAGGCGAGATACGAAATATGATCTACGCCATGGCCATCTACCCAGAGCTTTCTTCGCTCGTGATCGCAAATTGCACTAAGCCGGAGCATCTCGCCGCATCTGTGCTGCATCTTTCTGCCTTCCGCGTCTGTCGCCAGATACGGGCCGAATGTCTCTCCTACATTTGCGCCAATTTCTCCCTCAAGTTCCTTGGCCTGCAGACTGCGGATCTCTTCTTTTGGTGTGCGGGACTAGCCATCTCCGAGATCAAGGCTTTTGTTCTTGTGCAGCCCTGCATTGCTCTGAAAAGCAAACAAAGCGGAGATATGA